TGAGAAGACACAGAAAGAATCAACCAAAAAATAGTCAATACAGCAATATAAAGTATTTAATGATTCTCTAGTATATTATATTAATTTATTGTTTGCAGATATTGGTTGAAATCATCATTATCACTGACTGTTGTGATGGGCATAGCATGGCTTGGTAATGTCCTCTTCTTCAGGAAAGAGCTTCTCTTCATTGCATACATCATGACAGTCTTCATTGCTGCTCAAGGAATTATTATATTCATACTTTATGTTCCACTTTCTTCTCATGTAAGGATCATTCCATTAATCCATTAATTCATTCATGGTACAGGTAAGAGCTGCATACTTGAAGTCTTGGAATGACAAGATAGTTAATACTGGCTATTTCAGTGCAATGATTTTTAAAAGGGCATCACTGGCTTCAACTCGCACTCGCAGTATTAAGAATATATCACAATCAGTGGGTTATATGTATCTGCTGTCAAGTGTATTTATTCCTGTAATGATTGCAATAGGCTACCAGTAAAAGCAGTGAAACTCCAACCAGTAGTGTTTTTGTGGGTACCAGCCTTTCTGTAGGCCCTCCTAATGACCCAAGTGAGTTCAGTCTTTTCTTTGTAATATGATCATCGAGTCTTTTGGCCATAGATAAGATATTAGAGCAAGAGTTGGACAGTATGGTCATTCCTCCTTTACCTAGTGATTACATCACTAGTGAGATTGACAGGTCTTTTGTTTTTGTAAATGAGGCAAGCATTGAGAAGGAAATATCAGACGAATGAAAACTATGAATTTAATGTTTTAAAAAATTAAGCAGTGTTTGTCATGTGTCTTGTGATGTGAATATTTTAATTAGCAGCTAATGCTGCTAGCAACATTTTTGAACTAACTGACATCATAGTTATTCCTAAGGTTATTGTATATAATATAATGCAATCTCATGTGTGGTTCAAGACATATATGGCTAGCTATAGGGACCAGATAAACTAAAATTGTCATCCAGAAAACCTGTTTTTGAAGTTTTACGGTTTCAATATTATTGTTTATAAAATCAATTGTGCTTCCACATATACCTATCATATTAAGGGATTTAATAATGTCGTTTTCACCTATTTTTGTTGTAGCTACACAAAAGAAAGAAATCTGGAAACCATGAAACCAAAAACCAAGTAATCATATGTTTGGGTTTTATAGTTTCAGGTTTCTGCCTTAGAGTCTGTTGCATATGTACACAATGTACG